CGGGGGTGGGGCGGTTGCAGTTCTCCTCCCGCCGGCCGCCCCTGAGGGCGTTTCGGGACCCCCTCTCCTATCCCGCGCCCTCCCTGGTACAGCCGCGGCCCGTGGCGGCGCCGAGTCCCTGGTTCATCGCTCTCCCTTCCCGCAGTGCTGGAGGACACGGTGGAGGAGCGGGTTATCAGCGAGGAGTACAAGATCTGGAAGAAAAACACCCCCTTCTTGTACGACCTGGTGATGACACATGCTCTGGAGTGGCCCAGCCTCACCGTGCAGTGGTTGCCTGATGTGACCAGGTGAGAGAAAGGAAGAGAGGTCTGGAAGGCGCCAGGGAGGCTCGGGTCTCAGCTGCTGATTCGCTTAGTTTGCAAAGCGGGAGCTGAGGCTGTGTGCAATTGCTTGTTCCACTTCTCTTTCTGCCTCTGTTAACCATGCCTGCTAAGTAACTTGAGGATGAAAACCACGCAAGACAAGAATAATTTGGGTTAGACTCCTCTTTGTGAGCTTGTAATGCTTTATTTTGCTTACAACTGTAAAACCCTTTCGGGTATGCAGAAGCTTTGAGGAAAAAAGTCACAAATTGATACTTTACAGAACTCTAGCTTGGCCTAGCAGAGGATGTTGTGAGGTGTGAGGAGAGAAATCTTTCTTAATTTATTGATATGTGAGATCTAACACTCTTCTACAGTTAATGCTGACCAGAGAAATCTATGTACTGAATTAGCTTTTTCTTGAAGACTGTTTTTACTCATGTGCCTTACAGATCACTATTCTGTAGAAGCTATAGCATCTGTCTCAGATTTTTTTGTTGTTGTTGTTGTTTTAAGTCTGGACTTACTTAAGAGGATATTGTTCTAAGACTGGTGCTTCACGTTCTGGTTCTGTCCCTGGCACGCTGTTGGCTTCACATATTTTAATTTTCCCATTATTCTGCCTCCCCCTGAAAATTTTGGGCTCGCTGGTTAATTTCTTGAAGAATTTTGAAGATGGGGATAGATTCTGTTTATGTGCCAGCTACTATAGAACTTAAACTGTCACAGTAACCACTCAGGGCTCCATTGAGGTAGTGGACAAGGACTGGGTCCGTCATGTTGTTGTAACTGGATACAGCTAGGTTTTTAAATATCTTATGTGTAAAGTTCATGCAATAATCAGAGGATGGTCTCTTTCCTCTTTAAAATTCCGCCTTGCGTATGTGATGTTACACCTGGTGGTCACTTAGTTTTGTATACCAGAATGTTTGGGGAAGATGTTGAGAGATGTGAGATGACTAGTCATGGCATGGAGAAAATGAAGTGGGGATTTGAGGGTGTGGAGCCCTTATGAGGAACACTTCTGCTTGCCTCGTATTTTGCAGATTGACTTAATATTCAGTTTAAAACCTGGTATTTCCAATTATCCAGTGTCAAAATATGTAAGCCATTTAAGGCAAGGACTCTCTCTTTGTATGGCACCTGACATGATGGGACACCTGTTCCTGATGCAAGTAAGTGCGTGTGCATTGTGTGTTTTTTGTTTTGTTCCGTATTTTTCTTTCCCCCTCAAAATGTATGATGATGCTTTCGAAGTGGTGTAGTAATACCTGCGGTGGTTTATGATTGCCCGAATGATTCCTGTTTGCTTGGATTCAGACAGTGTAATTAGTTTGTTGCTTTCAAGAGTGCAGAAGTTGCTTGGTTTTGACTGTTCAAATTTTTCCTTTCAGAGATAAATGGCACTGTCCATCCAGCCCTTCACTTATTACTAAATGTTGCATTTAACCACCAGAAGAGAAATTTGATTCTAGTTAGCTAGGATTTGTGCAGTGTTTAAAAATGAACTTCTGAAATAAAATAATAACTGGTAAAAGCTTCTGAGAGAAGTAACTAAAATAGGTTGCCACTTGTCCTCAGTATTTGTGTTTTATAGAAAGCCGTATGGATTGTTCTCTAAATCAATACTGTGTGACTGCTAGGGCAATTAAAGACAAAAGTAGGTATTAGTGTCACCTTTAACTACTGTACAAATTGTAATTGTCCCTTTCAAGCCGTAGTGGCAATGTTTACTGACTTGTATTGTCACTCTAGCCTTGCTGGTTGTATCTTTGGCTTGCTTATGTTGGAGTCTAGTTGACTTTATTGCACAAGTCTCTTGTGACAAAGGAAAGGATCTCTTATGCGAGTCTCTCTTTTCTAGCTCCCTGAAGAAGTTTGGATCTTGAGTGTTATTGATGCTAGCTATCAAGCTTCTGGAACTGAGCACGTAATTTTTTTTCCATGCATTTATTATTCTAAACAGGCCAGAAGGAAAGGATTACGCTCTACACTGGCTGGTTTTGGGAACACACACGTCCGATGAACAGAACCACCTGGTTGTTGCAAGAGTCCAGATTCCCAATGATGATCAGTTTGATGCTTCGCAATATGACAGTGAGAAAGGAGGTGGGCATGCATGCATTCTTAGATTGTGTTTTAGCAGCAGCATTGCTAAGTGTTCTGTCTAATGGTATTCTAACTTTCTGTTAAATATGAAAGCTGACATATACTTATCAGTTCACAAGTTCACACTAATTCTAGATAGTTAATGGTGACTAAAAAGAGGAAACTTCTTATTTCGGGAGAACTTAAGTAATATGATATACAATCCCTACTAGCATTTCTACCAGCTCTGTCAGTTGTGGTGAAAAACCGATACACATCTACCTCAAATAGAGACTGAAGCTCTGAAGGAGTTTGTATCATAGAGGATTCCAAATATCTAAAGTGTTAATGCTGTTGTGTCACATGGTGCTAGTCTTTCATAGGCTTTATAGTATTATGATAAGATGCTTACCATTGTTTCTTGGAGTGGGGGAGATGGCATGAAATGCTGTTTCACCCATTTAAAACAGTTGATGTGATAAACTGACCTTTTTCTGACAAATGTAGAGTTTGGTGGCTTTGGATCTGTGACTGGCAAAATTGAAACGGAGATTAAAATTAATCATGAAGGTGAAGTAAACCGTGCTCGTTACATGCCGCAGAATCCCTGCATCATTGCTACAAAAACACCATCTGCTGATGTGTTGGTATTTGACTACACTAAACATCCTTCAAAACCAGGTGGGTCAGACAAATGCCAATGTCAGCAAAATGCCTCTTGTCATTGAGGGGAAAACTTGTATTTAACTGTAATTGGGAGGAGAGATGATGGGCTCTGGAATCTGAATAAGAAGGCCCATATCTTTGGTGACTTTTTAACTGCCTGGTTATGCTCAATAGCATAAGAGAATCTTGATAGAAGCAGCTCTCTCCTAAGAGGCTGACGTATAAAATATGATTATTGCAACGGAAACAAAGTTCTTGGGTGCTAATGATGCTCCTATGGATTGATGTGCAAGGTGAAGCTAAATGGAAGGAATTTCCTCTCTTTCAGACCCAAGTGGAGAGTGTAATCCTGACCTTAGATTAAGAGGCCACCAGAAGGAAGGCTATGGCTTATCATGGAACTCAAATTTGAGTGGACATCTTCTCAGTGCATCAGATGATCATGTAAAAACCACATCTTTTCCCCTATTTAAAAAAAACAAAACCAACCAACCAGACAACCCCTCCTAATTTATGCTGTAATAGATAATTAGAGAAATACTGGGTTAGTGTAGCTGTATATTGCTATGTGGGGAAGCTCTCGCATATTGCAATTATATTTCTAAATGCTGTCAGTTGACTTCAGGCTGTAATCAACAACCAGTTCTTTCTAATGTTCTTGATGAAGTAAGAACAGAATGTTTTTCCAGCAGACAACTGTAAGAAATTGTTGTATGACGACCCTTTAAACTGGCTTGAGTCTGAGACCATAAATCAGTAAGACTCTCAAAGATCAGTTGAACTAATAGCTTATAAATTTCTTTGTGGGCTTTAAAAGTGTAAATTGCTTTTGTGATCTTATAAATAATCCTTGGGCCTTGAATTTGCAGAAAACTGATTGATAACGTAGCTCACTTCTCACTTACAGCATATTAAGTGTTCCTTTTCAAAAACAGCTGTTTCAGGAGTGTCTTCTCTCTGTTTATGTGTAGAATGTGATTATTTATGTATTCATTTGAAAGGTAATACAGTCAGAGTCCACATAACAATAAAATATGACTCTTATTTACAGACTGTGTGTTTATGGGATATAAGTGCTGGACCAAAAGAAGGCAAAATTGTTGATGCGAAAGCAATCTTTACTGGGCATTCTGCAGTAGTAGAAGACGTGGCATGGCATCTGCTCCATGAATCTCTGTTTGGATCCGTGGCGGATGATCAGAAGCTTATGATGTAAGTTGGGGTTAAGCAGTTTCTGGATAGTGCCTGCTCTGTGCTGTCAGTGGACCAGTCCAGAGCTCTTAGATAAAAAAGTCTGAATTCTGGAATGCTCTCATTTAGCTCCTTAGTGCAATCAACTATAGTAATGCTGCAGAATCACCGAAATCTGCATGTCATTTAATGTGTTCACATCACTTGAAAATAAGATGTAATTAATGTGTATGTCAGCTTCCTGGTGCGAACTGCTTGTGTACAACAGACACAAAATACTGAAAGGTTATGGAATAAAAACTGTAGCTTCAGACTTAGGTTTAGTAATAATGTAGTCTCTTAAACTAATGTGTAGTGTAGTGAAAAAGAACCTCCTGTGAAAACTTTTATGTTTGTTCACTCTCGCTCTCTCCTCCCTGCCCCTCACCCTCCCCCAACCCCTTTGTTGCAACAGCTGGGACACAAGATCTAATACCACATCCAAGCCAAGTCATTCTGTAGATGCTCATACAGCCGAGGTCAACTGTCTGTCCTTCAATCCTTACAGCGAGTTCATTCTAGCAACTGGTTCTGCTGACAAGGTTTTTACTTGTCTATACTTTAAATTCATAAGTATTCTAGATGATAGTTCTATAGCCATTATAGTAAAACCAATTTCTTGTTACTTCTCCCAGACGGTGGCTCTGTGGGATCTTCGAAACTTAAAATTGAAACTCCATTCTTTCGAGTCTCATAAAGATGAAATTTTTCAGGTGGGTAGACTTTTCTCACAAGCTGTAGAAAAAACTAGAAGAGTACTGACTTGGACAAGAATGTGTAGATTTTCTTATGGTGACCAAGCACAATAAATAAGTCTGTTAAATATTAAATAGTGAATTTTGGTTCAAGAAATACGGACAGTACCACATAGTTTCTTTCTGTCTTTCCCCACTTGACTCTGAAGCAAGTAGTCAACAACTTATTGCTAAAAAGATACTGGGAGTTTGCAGGTACCTTCAGTACAGGTAGAAGGTTTCTTTAAAATGTCCTGCTGTAGAGAGGACTTGGGTTCATATCTAATGTTGTGAACTCTGCCTATTTAGTAGGTGCAAGTAACAGGGAATTTTAGACAATTAAATTTCATGATATGGTAAATCTGTGACAGTGAAATAATGTTGGCTGTTCAGTTTGAGAAATCTTAAGACTTTTAAAGCGCCCTATTTGAGCTATAGGATATCCTTTGTGCTGGAAGAAACTGATTTATTGAGTATAGTTGTTGAAAATTACTGGCCAGGTGCTGGTGCTGGTTATTCAGGATATGCTTTAGAAATCAGTAACTGCTCCAGTCAAGTTGTTTTCTTTCAATAGGTTCACTGGTCTCCTCATAATGAAACAATTCTTGCTTCAAGTGGTACTGATCGTCGGCTTAACGTATGGGATCTAAGGTGAAGAGCAATTCCTTTATTTTAGCATATATGAAGAGATGGTAAAAAAAAAAAAAAAAAAAAAAAAAAAAAAAAAAAAAAAAAAAAAAAAAAAAAAAAAAGGCTGCGGACCTCCTTTATTTGGTAGACTTGATTTGTGCTGTTCTCCAGCCTTCCTTGCTTGCTTAACTCGGACCTGGTCTTTCGGGTATACAGTAGAAGCAGCACAGTACTTCTAATGTTACTTCTCTGTGAGGACGTCTTGCTGATAGAATTGGTTTCTGCTGTCTTTCGTAAGAAGTGATTTCTGCCTCCGTGTGCTTCGCAAGTTAGATTCTGTTTCAGTAATGATGGCACCAAACAGTTGATGTTTTATACCTGAGGCTTATAAATTACTTGACAGTGAGAAAAGCCAATAGCAAAAGCAAATACTGGAAACAAAGGCTAGGAACTCTGAAGTTAAGCTGATAGAGGATGCAACGGTCATTATTAATAAAAAGTATAAACTACTTTCTTACAGCAAAATTGGAGAAGAGCAGTCTGCAGAGGATGCAGAAGATGGGCCTCCTGAGCTGCTGGTAGGCTTCTGTTGAGGTTTCACTGTGCCGACATGCTGTATGGCAGTGTGATGCCTTATGACTGCGCTACTAAAACTGCAGCGGTTCATCAATCTCTTCCCCTCCCTGGTTTTCAATCCATTGCTATAACTTGCAGTAGGCTTCCTCTGTTCAGTCCCGAGGGTAGTGATTTCTTTCAAAGCTGTCCTGGACATGATTTACACATCTTCATTGTCAAACATATTTACAGTTCGGCCATGTGCTTGTTGGTACTCTTTTATAACTAAACACGTGTAAAGCCAAGGCCTCAAATTGTTTCTCTTGCGTTAGACCAGTTAGGTCCCATATAGCTAACCTTACTGATGGAGAAAGGCTTATGTTTTGGTTTGCTTCCTTAGGAAACAAACAATTAAAAATGCCTATAGTTTGGTTTCCCCATTTCCTGTGTAGCTGTATAAGTGCTCATATAATTAGATGAGGTAATGGATATAAAATACGGCTGGATTTCACAGCCTAACCTTGTGTGAAGTAGCACCATTTCGACGATGTCAGTCCGTTGTTGCTATAATAATAAGAACTGTCATCTGAAATGCTGTCTCAGCAATTGCATCTGGCCCATAAGCAACGAATGGGATGCGCTGTTTCACACACGCTGCCTTTCCGGCTGTATTGTGAATCTCTAGCAGCAAGTTGTTCTTCTTTGTGTAGCCATCCGCATGATGAATTTAACTTCTGAATCTTGGGTTTTAACAGATTTCTCTCTAGAGATGAAATGGCTTACTGAAGCTTGTGGGTTTTTTTAACAGTTTATTCATGGAGGACACACTGCCAAGATTTCAGACTTCAGTTGGAATCCTAATGAGCCTTGGGTAATCTGTTCTGTATCAGAGGACAACATAATGCAGATCTGGCAAATGGTGAGTGTTGCAGCAGCTCTTGAGGTGCTCCGAAGCTTGTTGCATAAATGAGACTGAAATGGCTTGTTCTTCTTGGGGCAGCTTGTGCCTTCCACGACTGAAAGTAGCCTGTCCCCTGTACTTCTTACACTGTTTGATTGGAGAGTAAGACTTTCAAAAGAAAAAAGAAAAAGAAAAAAAAAAAAAAAAGACGAAACCAACCTGAATAAATGCAACTGCTAGCTAATTCCTGACTCCAAGTCTTAGGTACTAGTTAATATTAAGAATAAATGTGGCAGTTGTGAACTTATATCCAATACTAGCCAAGACTTATTCTTCCCCTCATCCCCCACATGTTGAATGTGAAGCAAGATGCCTTTTAAGTCTCCAGTTAGTTCATATTATCTTACGTTGCAGGAATTTGATCAGTTATCTTATAAATAAATGTGGAATAAAGTCACTTCAGCATAATTTCAATTAAAAAATGTAACAGACTTAAATGTGCATCACAGGTCAGGCTTTCAGTTTTTTATACCTGTTCTTTTTGTGTGTTCAGACTGAGGTTGAAATAAGTCCAAATAAAATGTTCATGGTAAGGCCAGTGATGAAATGGCGAATGCTTACGCCGCTGAAATAAAACCATGTGAGAAGAGAACTGCTGAAGTCTAGCCACTGCGCACGCATTCCTAAATCTGGCTGCCCTGTAAGGGAAGGCAGGGAGAGGGCCCCTTTACGGAGGGGGTGATGTCTGTGCCTTCTTGGCATTATCCTGTTTTTTCTTTATAAAGTGTAGAAGATTGTTTAAACACAATTGTGTCTAGCGCTTGTAACGTAATATTTTGTGTCTTTAGGCAGAAAACATTTACAATGATGAAGAACCAGATATAGCAGCAGCCGAACTGGAGGGTCAAGGAACATAACTTCTTGTCCTTAAGGAAATACTGGGTGTGACATAGTAATATAATTTGACTACTGTATACATTTAAAAAAAAAAAAGCCCTTAAAAAAACCAAAACCCAAAAAAACCCTAAAAACAAGCAGTGGGCAGAAGCATTACATCAAACCGAGAATATTCTTAATTGGGCATAAAAAGTTTGTATAGGCAAGTTGTCATGGGATTCCCTTGGTTATCTGGGCACTTTAAGCCATTGTATACTGTACAGCACTTAGCTTTTAGGGAAAATGAGAATGACTTAATACCTATGTCTATATTTCTAAACAAACTTAGTGGGTTCCTGTAAATAAAACAGTCAAATCCTCACTCTTCCCACACAGACAGTGCGCAAAAAAAAAAAAAAAGTTTTTATTGATATGTAAAAAGAGCTTTTCACTTTTACACAACACTTTTGAATTGGCTTTGCATAAATAAAATTTATTAAATAAAATGCTTGGTGTGTTTAATGTCCATTGACATAACATGAATGCCTTTTTACCTGAATATAATTTAATTTCTGCATGGTAATAAAGATACGTAGTTCTTAGTTTATAACTTATAACCGCAATCAAAGGTCTGGGGAGGTGGCAGTTGTCTTGATGTGAAAAACTTGGAATAGACCACTCGGCTCCCTCACAGGCAGGCTGGGCATAGAAAGAGATCTGAGGAAGGCGTGGGGAGGGCCAGTCTGGCTCCTGTAAAGTTCAGGTATAAATCTTGAGCAGACTCCAGTTGGGTTTTGATTTGGGGTGGGTGTCTTGTTTGGGTTTGGGTTTTTTTGGTTGGTTGGTTGGTTGGTTGGTTGGTTGGTTGGTTTGTTTTTTGGAGTGGTGTGAAGCACTGTCCTTTAACATTTTCTTGTCTTAGGTGCTAAGATGGCAACGCGGTCTCGGTGAATCGGTATCGCCTGTGTTTAGTTAGAGCCCTCCTGTAGCTTTTTTTTGATGAAAATCATGTGAGGCAATCAGGCAGGTGTCTAAAATACATTAATATCTCAAAAAATACGAGACAAATGTACAGTTTACTTCTAAACCTCTCGCTGACTGAAAAGCTGCAGAATTTGGACCGTGTAGAAGTAAGATATCTCTGTATTATTGTGGTTCTACGGACAAGTTATGGATCACCTTGGGAGCTGTCAGTCAGACAGATGTGAGCCGGTGTCTAACTTGAATTCAAATTAAAGCTCTTAGTTACTTAAGACAGGCCTCAATTAAATGAATTGCTGGCTGCCCTGATCTTTCTGCTCAAACTGAAGAAAAATAGAAGACTGCGGTGACTGATACTGAAAATGTGACTTTTGATGTTGAAAATGTTGCGCTTCCCTTGATGCCTACCTTGCTCTTGTCTTTACTTGAATTTTAACAAGTTAGTAGGCTACGGGGCTCAAGCTGCGCGTCTCACGGTACCGTACTGGGCCCGGCTGGGATGGAGGTGCGGGTTTATGGCTGGAAGGCTGTTGACGGTGCCTTGGCTGTGGCTGGGCAGCGCTGGCACACTGCCTCGGTGGGGGGGACGCAGCCGGGCCAGCGGGGAATACTCCTTACCCTGTGTCACCCTCAGCAATAAAAAACGAGGCAGGGGAAGAAGAAGAGGCCTTCCATGGTGGCCGTTGCTTGGAGGCTGGCAGGGCGTTGGCCCGCTGCTTGGAGGGGGCAAGCGATTGCACTTCATTTTTTATTTTTATCCCCCCCTCCCTTCTCTCACCCACCTATTAAACTGTCTTTTGTCTCTACCCATGAGATTTTCTTCCTGCCTTGCTGTGGGGAGGTGTGAGCGAGCAGCTGCGTGGGTGTTTAGCTGCTGGCCAGGGTCAACCCACCCCTCTGCCATTCATGAATGGAAAGCTGCTATTCGAGGTAAATATTCCTATTTTTTAGGGGTGAGAGTTGAATGAATAAGGGTTTTGATTTAGCTCCTTTTGTGCTCTGTGTGGGAATGGGGTAGGCTGGACGCTCCCTAGGTCTAGCAGACCTGGAGAATGTTACATCCCATCCTTAAAAAGCATTGATACTTGGGAGCGGGGTGGGAACAAGCAAAAGATGGTTTTGACAAGGGAGCTCGTTCACTTTTATGAGCCTAGTGCCACGTACTAGTACCGTGGGAGCGATCGGTGTGCGGCCAAGGCCAGCCCTTTCCAGGACAGGGCAGGCAGTTGTTAGCTGGAACGTGGCTCTAGACGTCGCGGAAAATCAGCGTGTGGTTCCTGGGGGCGGCGCTCGCCTCTGCGTCGCTGAGAGGACCAGCTTCCTTCCAGCACGTCCCCTCCGGCCGTCCCCTACAGCAGCCTATCCCCGTGCTGGTGCCGAGGGAATGGCAGCAAAGGTGCGGAGTGAAGGTACTGCCGGCTTTCCCGTTTGGTTTGGCCAAGGGTCGCTCAGCTAGGAGTTGACGTCTGTTGACACAGTCGTATGGGCAAGCAGGCCAGCAGCGCTCTCTTCCTTGCCTCCCAGGAAGGGCTCCCCAGCGATACCCGAGGGGAACTCTAGATGCTCGGGTGCCAATTGAATTTGCAAGTGGCAGCAAGTGATACGCGTTAACCGTACTGAACTTTGGTGAGGTCCTACTTCCTTTTGGCATTGTTTGACATACGCAGCTCTTGGAAAGTGGGAAACGAAGAGGTCAATGGCCTGACTGATTGTTAGGGGTGGAAAAAAAAGAAAGAAGTGTTCCCTAGAGAGCACGGTGGTGGCTCTCCCTGGCACAGGTACAGCTGTGGGCTGCTACGGGACCCCGCTGGTGAAGGGGTTACTTCAGGGTGGTTTTGCAGTGGCATGTCCAGTGTAGGTCATTCCTGTAATTAGTGATTTCACCTTTGCGTGTCCATTATGGTTGGGTTGTTAATACTTAAGTCTTCTTACTGCCTCACTAGATAGTTGAGTGGCAGACTTGGCAGTCCTAGGTTAACGGTTGGACTTGATGATCTTACAGGTCTTTTCCAACCTAACCGATTCTATGATTCTATCTGATTATGCCCTTATCCACATTATACTTCATTATTGGCGTGCATACTGTACCTTTTCACTTCAGCACTGAAACAGCAGAACAAAGTGCACTTGTGAGCTGCGTAAACCCTCCGCAGAGAAGCACCTAGTCAACACCTAGTTTGACCTTTTGCTTTCCAGGCACTAGAAAGTCCCATGTGGAAGATTTTTGTAATTCTCCCAAACTGGTACTTCAGATGAATGACTTGCAAACCCAAACATGCATGGGTTTGCATGTTATGCATGGCCAAGCATGCATAACAAATGGTAACCTGGTGTTAGAAGCTGTGTAACTCCTCTCTCCCTTTAAAAAGGCAATGATTCTCTGCTTTAAACATCAAGCCTACATAAAAACCACGTCCCAGAGAAAAGGGTTAGGAGAAGAGACAGCAGAAGCCCAGTCAAAGCCAGCGAAAGTCTTGATGACCAGGCAACATGACAAGGATCAAATGGTTTTGTATGAATACTGGTGATGGGAAAAAACCCGAAGCAAACAACCACCCCCAACCAATTACATGGATTAAACACCAGTAACATATCTTGGACTTGGCAGAACTGAGGTAGTTATTTGGACTCTTAACAAGAGGACATAACTTCAGTGGCAATGATAGTGAACTACATCAGTATAGAATATCTGTCACATGGCTGTAGTTAGAATAAGGTTAAAAACGGAGAGACAAATTCATTTCCTCAGCATGAGCAAATACCACAAGATGTAACAGGGTATTTAAATATTTAGATGCTGCAAGTGATTACTTTCTTGAAGTGGAGCTTTAGGAGCAGTATTCTTGGCACAGTCTTGAATTACACGCAAGGCCTGCTTTAAGACTCGCCCGTCACAGTCCATAAGGTAGGCACACCCCAGGCCTTTGTTTGAGCAAGAAATCCAAAATAATATTCAATCTCAAACCCAGAAGACAACAAACAGTTTAAAAGGAAATGAAAATAAAGTCTTTGCAGGCAGCACAATATTCTGAAATTACTTAAAAGTTCAGGCTAGATGGGTGCCAGTCAGCAAGATCAATAAAAGCTAGCGTAGTTAGGTGAGACCAAGTTAGGCTGTTAGAAGAAAATACATCCTTCTCTCAAGAAGACATGTCTGAACAAGAGGAAAAAAGGTAGATAATGGGAAATTTGTAAAAAATAAAGAAAATTCAGAAAGGAGCAGAACAAGTACCTGTGAGGAATGACTTACTGAAGGCCTAAAAGCAGGTATCTTTTTCGAGTACATCACACCCGCTTGCCAGTCAGCCAGGGAGACGGAGCCCTGGGCAGCAATGGACCGGAGGGCTCAGGATGCAGCTGGTGAAAGAGCTTCTGGCATCAGAGGCGCTCTTCACAGGGAAAAAGTACGGCCCCACGCGTGTGTGCATGCGTGTTAACAGGAGACTTGGCACCCAACAAAAAAAATTTAAAAGAAGGGCTATTAACTGTGATATATAGCCAAATTTCTCTCTAGCAAAAGCTTGCAAATCTGACCAGTTTCTACGAGGAATTTAGGAAGACTGGGGAGATCCACAGCACTACTAACAGCAGAGTTGACTTCTGTATCAGTACGCACCGTAAGAAAGGATGGAGATAGTAGAGATGCTTATACAGGGGCAGAGGCAGGGCCTTTTGTGGGGACAAGTCTCAGAGGTGAGGGAAGGAGCAAACGAGTACAGCAAGGGCAGCGGCTGAGACCAGGCAACGTACTTGGATTTCCCAAGTACTTGGCACAGCTCTAGAAAAGGCTGAGGGGTAGGACTTACCTTGCTCAGCTTTTATAAAATGGGAATCTTCAAACAAGTTAATTAATACTATCTTCAAAGAGTCACAGAGCACATCGTAGTACATTGTTGTAAAAAAATTCTATGTGCTACCTAGAAAAAAGTATACATAAAGGAAAACTGAACTCCCAACCAGTTCTCATAAATTTAGGCAAGTTGCCAAATGTTAGGGAATATGCCAAAAGAGGCAAACAGAACACTTAACACTAGGAAACTGGGAGAGAATGGTACCTTAA